TGAGTGCGGTTAACATGAAATAGCCCTTAGCCGGTACGATAGCCACTCTTTTAGTCTGATGGACTCCTGGCTCTCTTCCCAAACCCCCTGCCCTTCTCCTTTCCCTCTCATTCTCTATTTCTCTCTCTCTCTCTTTCTTTTGTGTTATTCTTTTTCTTTCTATTTCACTCACTCATCGTCCTTCGCCCGTTTTTGGTCTGGACGACTTGGTGGGTATCACTCTTTCGATTATCTCTTTTTCTTTTTATTTATTTATTTATTTTCTTTTCTTTTTTATAGGAGATTTATTTTATTTTTAATATTCGCATATATTTTGTTTGATAAATATTTTTAATATTCTTTTAATTTTTATTATTTTTTCCTCCTGTACATTATTTTAAACGTTCATTACTATTCTGATAGATTTTTGGTTGTTGTTGTTATGATAAAATAGTTTTTATAATTAATAGGAAGTTTAATTGATTATTGTATATTTTGATTTTTGTAAGTTGTATTACGTGGATTGTTTGGTATTGTTTGTTATGTTACGAGTATTGATTAATCTGTTTTATTGTATTGAAATATTGGGAATTATTCTTTTTTGGGGAATTTGTTTAATTCTTTTCGGTTTTTTCTTTCATTATACTACAATAATTATTTTTCTTTTTATGTTTAATTGGATTTTGATATTTGCGAAATAAATTTGTAATAAGAATATATAAATTGATGGATGTTTAAGAATTTTTTACATTACCAAACGTAAGTTATTTTTGATGGTAGTACAGTAAATTGTTTCTTTTATTCGAAACATTTAATCGTATTATTTTTTTTTTTTTTTATTTATTATATTGTTATTCTTACTTTTTATCATAAGCAAATAATATTTTTAATCTCCCGCAGATGTCATTCCAGTACGGAGAGTTTTATTATACAATGTCTTACGTTGCTGTAATTTCATATATCTATTGTCGTTAATGTAGATTTCTGTATTTTTGTACACGTTGTATATGAGCCGTTATATCTTTTAGTTTCCTAATACTCGGAGGATAATCAATTGATTTTTTTATGAAATAAAATTGTCGGCAATTGTTAAGGTAGAATTTTACTTATCACGTGATGTTAAGGTTTTAACTTTGAAATATTTCAATTAAAATTATCAACTGAGATAAACATAGTTTTATTCCACTAAAGGTATTATTATTTTTAAATGAATGATTATTGATCTGATTCTTTACCAACCATAATTAATGTTTTTTTATAAGTGTAAGACTAAGAGACAAACAAAATACATAAACAATGATAAATACAACAAATCAATGCGTAAACATGTTTTTATAAAATAAATAAAAGAAATCCATCAATAATGCAGTGCTTACACATTAAATATAATAAAATATAATTTCTTATAAATGCATGATTTTTACTGAAATTAAATAATTTAGTAATATATTATTATTATTACTATTATTTATATAATTGAAAATAAAGGCAAAAACGATGATAAAATTCGCCAAATTTACTGAATCGCAGCGTATGCTTTATTAAATAAATTATGTACAAATCCTCGCATTCGAAATTTTAATCGATAGAACATACTCGACTAAATACAATATATATATGTATATATATATAAATAAGAGTATTGTGATATTCTCAGATACAATACAATATTTCTTTGCACGTCGGAGGCCATATTACTCTTGTTAAAAATAAAATAAAAAAGAAAAGAAAAAAAGGAAATGGAATTAATAAAAATTACAAAAGTATCGGAATCGCGTGAAAGAAAAACGTTTTTCTTTTTTTATGTTTTTGATGGTCCAAAAATTGTAAACCAACTCATTTCGTTTTCTCGTTTCTCTTGCATTAATTTAAAAAAAAAAAAAAAGAAAAAGAAAAAAAGAAAAGAAAAGAAAAACAAAAACTGTAAAAATAATTTTTATTTTCTCCTTCCTTTTTTTATTCTGTCAAACTTATCTCGTCTCTCTTGTTGTCCCTTTATTATTTCTGTTTTTTTTTTTTGTTAGAACAGTGATATTTGTTTTTAATCATTTGACAATATTAGAATTATCACAGTCTGTGTATCTACAGCTTAAACGCTAATACAATCTTAAAAGTTAAGAAAAAGGACGACAATTAAACGTTTTTAACGTCCCTTTCTCATTATTTCTCTTTCTCTTATTACTATTTGTATCTTCTACCTTTTCATTTAAACCTGCATCCCTATTCTCTCATCTTGGATTTTTATTTTTTATCATTATCATTCACATTATCATTATTTTATTATTTTGTATGCGAGAAGGGAAAAAGGGACGAAATTAATGAAGTTGCATTGTATATCAAACGAAAAATTAATTTTCCTCTATAATTCGAATATATTTTCTTTCCTCCCCCCCCCTCCCCACCCCTCCTCTCCCTTCCTACCACTTAGTTTTCGTAATAACCCTCATTACCTTTCCCCATTTTTATTTTACTCTCGTTTGCGGTTATTTTATTTCTCAATGTTGCTCTATCGCTGTTTTTCTTTTATTCTGGACGGCAGAACATTAACAATAATGACAAAGGACTCGTTAACAAGATGCGTTTTCTTAATTTTTTTTTTTTCTTTTCTTTCTCTCTCTCTCTTACTCATTCTTTTTCTGTCACTTTCTGTCCTTACATTTTTCTTTTCTTTAATGGACACATCGAAGCAAAAATATTATCTTTTCATATATATATGATTATAATTGTAAGATTAAAAAAATCGTAGCGATCGTTGAAGACAATTTTTTGTCATCACTCTTGTATTTAATATTATCCTTTTTCTTCTTTTTTTCTTCATAGTTTTTTTTTTTTTTTATTTTTTATTCGGACGTTCCTATATGTGTTTGTGTATATATATAATATAT